TTCAGTCATATCACACAATCCAAATAACACTTTTTGTCAAGAGTGGTTCTCACAAAGATATAAGCACAGGAACACACAGGCAGACACACACATCATACCTTACAAACAGCTGTAATGCATGTGATCTCACTGTAGAGCCCTCCCAAGTTGTCTGGCTACTGTGAAGTGTAAACAGTAAACAGGATGGAGTATCCTGTGTGTGTGTCTGTGTGTGTCTGTGTGAGTGTGTGTGGGTGTGTGGCTGCTAAAGAGAGAATGAGCCCATGCAGAGTGTGCTAGCCCAGCTGTCACTACTGCGACTTCAGACATGAGAGACCAGAGGACACGAGCTGGAGGGCCAGTGTGTGTGCTAAAGTGTGTGTGTGTGTGTGTGTGTGTTAGGAGTGTGTTGTCACCCCACACCCCCAGGCATTCTCCACAGAGCCTGGCTTCCTTCCTCCCCTTTGTTAAGCCTGCAGGGCAGCCTTCGTCAAGCTGAGCACACAAACTCCTGCATATGAATGTGTGCTGTCATCTTTATTAGGCCTCTTTGCCAACAGCCATTACATTTAACACAAGTCTTTACCAAGGGACATTTCACTTTCATGGGCTCGGCCCTCACTCCTACTTGCCAGACGAGAGGCGTTACAATGACCTCAGCGTGGGGTACGTTTGAATACACAAGTTGTTACATATAAATGTTGTTAGATAAATGCCTTTTTGTTGCTCTGAGTAATCTGGTGGTTGGTTATGATTGTTATTTGATATGAAACTTTAAAGGTGAAGTTAATAAGTGGTGGTTTTGTATTTCAAAGGTGAGGCAATGCTGCCAAAATCTCTCTGTCTTTATCTGCGGTGTTCATCCTTTTTTCTCTTTGATGTATGGGTTCAGTGCAGATGCTGGCAGCGATGATTGATCAGGGCGAACCCTCAAATAGATTTAGGCCGTGTGTGTGGATATGAGTAATGCCCAGTGTTTTTAACCACATTCTCACATTTCATCTCTTCATAAGACAGAGACTTGTCGCAGCGTGCCGTTTCTATTGTGTCTGAACGCTGCGCTGCACACAACACATCCCACACAGACATCCCACAAATTCCAGCTTAGAGAGGTAGTGTTTCTCAGAGGTGGTATTTGGAGCTTTGTGCATGAGGTGGCTGCATGGACAAAAAATGTACAGGCCTCTCACTACACAGCACATTATGTCTTATAATGTAGAATAAATAAGATTCTCCAGCATATTTCTTAGGTTAGATAAAAGGGTTGTGGTTTTGAATGTGCGGTGTTGGTATCAGAGCACTCTTTAAATGATACTTTACAATATGTGGTCTTGGGGTTTTGATTTAGTTTTGATGAGAGACTTCATGTCCTCGTATTGACCTCGGGATGCACAGATCTTCATTTCATATAAGTGACTTCATATCCTGGTTTCTGCTGGAGTTTATCTTTATAGCTTATCGGTCCATGGTATCATAAATACTGCGCCCCTCATTACAATACAATTCACCTTACATTGTCCTCAGTCTCACACAGTGGGGTGATTGTTGAGCAGAGATATCTCATGTTTTTTTTTATTCTGTAAACTACAGCTTCTTTTCTTTTTTGTTATCAGAGTTCAAGCATCAAACACCTGTGACTCAAAATCCAGTTGCATTATCTGGTTTAAGTCACAAGACAGTTTTTTTTCTTCTTCTTCTTGTTTAAGAGACATTATTACAGAAATGCAGGCTAGACTTTTTAAATACTGCAATCATTTTTTTGCTTTATGAAAAACATTATTTTGTTATACACACCTTATATATAGAGAGAGAGACAAATGGGATATTTTAACATCTAATAACACCAAATACGAGGGAGATCCTGTCAACAGAAATTGATATTATACATACAGGAATATGGACAGTAAATTAACTAACTACATAAATAAATAACTGTTTCAATTTCTGTACTTAAAGACACATTAGTTAATTATTTGTATTTAAATTTGATGCTACTTTATACTTAAACTCGAAGTAATTATTAAATCTACTCAGCAGCTACAATTTCTTATGTTTCATTTTTT